AGAGCTAGCAGCTCCCTGACTCGGCCTTAAGGGCAGCAGCGCCCTTGGCACCCACTCCTCCTCCCTGGCTTTGGCAGGGGGCTGCTGGGGGTGCACACAAAGTCCCCGTTAGACCTGTTGCACCGAGCTGGGAAACTACCTCTGCTTTTCCCCAGTGCTGCCTTGAACCGCGCTCTGCACGCACAGTGCCCCCCCCCAGCCTGCTGGGCCACTGGGTCGCAGCCCCCGGGGCTGTCCCTTGGCACAGCAACAGGGAATGCAGCACGGCCGAGTCCCACAGCGCAGGGACTTTGGGCTCGCGAACCCCAGGGACCAGCCCTCGGTGATGTGTCTTTTCACGCGTGGGTCTCTGGGCCCCTGCGCCCGAGGCAGTGCTGATCTGACTTCGCCTGTGTGCTTGGTTGATGGAAAAATAAAAGTTTTGGGGAACAGCGGAGGCTGCGTTTCAGGAGCCCTGGCTGGGCTACAGCAGAGGAGGCTCAGCTCCGGGGGCACGCACCCTGAGCCCGCTGCGGTGCCAGACATTGGCACAATCCAAGCCTGATTCCTGCCCAGTGCCTGGCTCCCAGCGCTGACCCCCTGCTGGGGTGTGTGTGTGTCCCCTGCGCGCTGCTAGCCAGCATGCACAGAAACAGCCTGTCCTGATTAACGCATCCGTTTTATTCCTGCAGCGGAGGCCGTGGCCAAAAGGGGGAAGGAGGCACACGGTGGTGCTGGGTGAGCAGGATTAGGCTCAGCCTGGCCACAGTGTGTTGCATGGCATGGCGCTACCTGGAGCGTCACATCGACCTGGTGGCATGGGGCTGCGGTAGGGCTGGCCAAGGGGCCCAGCCGGACAGAGGCCAGCAATGCCGCTACACGTCTGTGGCTGGGCCCCACTCGTAGCCTTCATCCTCATCGGAGTCATCCCTGGCCCGCGTGAATCTCTTCCTCACAGCATCGTGCTCGTATTCCCTGGGGGATGAGAAGCCGTGGTGATGGCTCTGCCACCTGGTCAGAACAGGTGTCCCCTGCTGCACGGGGTCAGGCCAGGCAGAGCTGGCACGAGGGCTCTGCGGGCCCATCCCCAGCGCTGGCTCCTTTAACCCCCCCGCTGGCCCCGGAGCGCGGGGTACCTGATGCTGTTGTAGCCCTGGCCCTGCCACCGCTGCTTTGTC